GGGGGGGGGGGGGGGGGCAGCAACGGTGGGGTGACTGGGGTGACAAACGACAGGAGGGTCACCTAGCGGCGCATGAACAAAATAGCAGCACACCAATGGGCCGTTTCTCGGTCATTCGACGTTCCTACAAAGACCGCGAATCGACTCGACCCCGAAGTTACACTAGCGACGGCTGGGGTCCGCATGCAACGAACGGAATCTTGACAAGTCATGCATCCTGGCGCTGCAATGCAGTTGCCCATACATAAGAGTTATGTAGTCGTCACGCATCATTTGGTTGTTCAAAATCATGTGCTGCTCGGCAGAGGATGCGCCACGCGTGTGCGACGCCAAACGTCTCACACACACACACACCCGATAAATCCGGAATGACCAGTCGCGTCTACCTTCGCTTGCCGTCATGACTTCTCCTGCAAGCGTCAACCAAAACATAAAACAACCTAAACAAACTTCTACCCCAACGAAATACCCCCCCTCCACCCCCCCGAACACGCATCCCCTCTCAGCAACGACCAACACGGACACAACACCCACATCGCTCCGATCCTTCGGTCGCCCCTCACCTCTTCCCCTAGAGCGACACCAGCCGCCAACCGCGAGTCCACGGCACCTCCCTGCCCGAACGCACCGGGGACCACCCACAGCCATCCCAGATCCTTTCCTCCTCCTCTCAAAACCCCCATTTCTGAGAGGGCTGCCCCCACCAGCTGTGAGCAAAGGTAGGAAGCGCTGAGCGGCGTCTTCTCGCTCTTGCCCGAAGAGAAACTCGGCAACGTGGTTGTTTCCCCGATGGCGTCGGCGGTAGCACTCCCTCTCTGCCCCTCTCCGCTGCCCGCCGCGTTTGCACACATGACCACCTCCTCCTCCTCCTCCTCCTCCTCCTCCTCCTCCTCCTCCTTGGCAACGGCGAAGGCAGGACCCTGCCCCCGCCTGCTTTCTAACCCCGCCCGGCCGCCTCGGGCTACATCGCCGTGTTCGCCGCCGCCGCAGTCAGTGCTCTCACTAGGCATGGTTGGCTGAAATGCCGGCGAGCTAGGCGGAGGAGGCGTGCGCTTCGTCCGCGAACGGTCTCCCTTAGGTCCGCTCGGGGTGAAAGGGAGGACGATGCCGTAGGTCTTGAGAGAGTCGGGAGTCGGCACACACAGCAGTGTGAGGTTCGAGGGACAAAAAAAGAAACGAGAGAAAGAAGCGGATCGGGGGTAAACAAAATTACAGCCGGACAATCGAAGTGATACAACCGATAAATGCAGACTCCCACACACATCTCTCGTGTGTGCACACCTCAAATATACACCGCTTGTCCCTTACACAGTGTGGGCGAAGGTGTGATCCGACGCTGCTCCCACCTTTCCTTCCACCTGCCGCGAAAACTCTTCGAGCCGCGCCCTCGACTCTGCGGGGCGGGGACACCGGAGCCTCCGAAACGCCACCCTGCTGGCGAAACCCTGGTCGTGGTACGCCCTCACGCGCTCCACCAGGGGGTAGCGGTGAACGCCCCCGTGGGTGGACTCTAGGAGGTCCAATCGCCCACTCGGCCCTCCGGAAACTACCTGCGGAAGTTTGACTCGATGTAAGTGGGCTGCGCTGGAAAATGCGGTGACATCAGATCAGGGGGAAGCGAGGCACCCTGGGGCTGCTTGTCGTCAAGTCTACACACCCACCAACAAGCAGAATATCGACAGCCTTGTAGCTAGAGTATGTCAACAACAAAAAACTTTGATACATATGGCTCGCACTTCTCGTCAAGCCTGGATCAGGGGTGAGGATTATCCTGTACAGGAGGCGCGTTGATGACGGGGCCAGAGTGGTGTGTGCTGCTCCGTACGGGGAACAAGCGCTTACACTTGGTTCACCATCAACAACGACGGAAACAACCACGGCCAAAAAAAAAACGGCCGGCACGATAACCCATGGGGGAGGGGTCGTAGGTGGGAACGACATACCGAAATTGCTGTATCACTGTTGCTGCACCATATCACGAAGACAGCGACAACGCACACGTGAAAATCACACGCAATCAACGCGCAACACGACCAACTACCCACCACTCCCACGTGATCCCACTGCGTTCTCAGCACCCAGCGCTGCAGCCGGCTGAGCATCCCCCGGCACCGAAACAAGACCACGTCCCCGCCGTGCGCCTCCTGCTCGAGCGCGTTAACCCTCTCCACCTTCCGCACCACTTCCTCTTCCTTGCCCGCTGCTGCCCGTGGCTCTCCCTCTCTCCCCGTGCCCACCGCCGGGTGTTCACGGCATCGCTCGTTCTCCGTCGCTTGGCGCGCACTACCGAGGCCACCATCGCTGTTGCCTTTCGGTGGTGGCGGCGACTGGCACCCTGTTTCGTGCGCCGGCGGCAAGAAGCGTGTTGCTTCTCCCTCCGCCGCTTCTCTCTGGCCCGTTGTGGCACCACCATCGCACTCACCCATGTCCGCCGCCGCCGCCGCAGCCGCAGCAGCAGCTCCGCTTTCGCCGGCAGCCGCCTGACCCCTTCGACAGTCTGCCATCCTGCGGCTGGTGCTGCCACGCGCAGTGTGGTTGCCTGACGTGGTTGAGTGCGGTGCAACCGAGCGGAGCGTGGGTGATTTCCCCGCTCTCTGTCCTCCGCGACGATTGGGATTCGGCGGGAACATGAGGTCGTGCCTGTGTTGTAGGCGTTGGGGCACGCAAAGTACGCCGAGGCGCGCGAGGGGAACGGTGGTCAAGCCCAGCCGGCCACGGGAAGAACGCTGTGTGAAGCAAGCAGAGTGTTCAAGACGAACATTAGAGTCGCTAACGATGCGGATTCCTTGCTAGTTTATCCCGGCCTCTTTATCTCTGGATAGAGATGGATTCGTTATGTTTTTGTAACAAATACACAAAATAGAGACCGTAATATCAACACCAACCCCAAGATGCCTGCAGCGAAGCAGGCCGATTTATGTAGCTGAAGTTTTCGCGGTCGGTAGGGAAGGCCAAGCTTCCCGATGGTGTTTCGTTTGCCCGAAATGGGTGATCCCTTAACGGCCCGTCCAATACAAGAGGCCGGGTGCTTCAAACATAGTCAGTCCTTGTATGGTTTTGTGGGTCCTACTGAATTTTCACTGTTTTCCATTCGTGTATGTACACCTGTTTGGGTGTAGTTGGCCCGTGACGACCACGGAGGTGTCCGGGTTATCAGTTGGACGGTTATGGATGTCAGAAGGTACTGAGAGGAGACTGCACTTCTTTATTAATGCGATGACAACAGCAACAACAAGAGCTAAATAGACGTTTCACCTCGAGGAAGACACCAGGCCCAAAAAAGAAAGCACCGCGCGGTTGGCCAACGCCTCGGGAATCGACAGGAGCTCCTGCAGGTATCTTTCCAGCTGATCTCGCCGAAGCCGCTCCATCTTTTCGGGGAACAGTCTCAGCATCCCGAACGTGCGCATCGGAGGCTTGGGCAACCTGCGAGATCACAGGGTGCCCGCAGTCGTTGGCCGCAGCACCAGCAACCAGTGTTTATCACATCACGGGATTCACATCCTGGGGCGAAGCGTATCAGGAGCTTCACGTGCTGGTGTGAAAAATCTCCAAAGGCGATTGGTTCGCGGCGAAACAAAAACCAACAAGCCACAGCCTTCATACGAGCTTGTGCCCACTGAGCGCTCTCGGCAAAAAAAAAAACGCACGTGGATGGAGCGATTGGAGGAGCGAGATGCGGTACAACCGAGAACCTTTCCACAGGCGCAACCCGTTGTGCAGACCACCACCCACCACGGCGGTGGTTGGTTAATTGGTCGAAAGCGTACGATTTGTCGCCTTCCAAATTGAAGAAAAAGTGCCTCAGGATAAAAGGCGGAGACAATAACAAATAACCCCGTGCTTGCCTTCCTCCCGTGTAACTGCGACTGGTGCGTCAAATATACGAAGTATATCGCAAGGTGTGGGATAGACTGGCGTCTAGAATAGATGGGATGAACACAGACACACGTCGTAAATTATCAACGTAAAGAGACATCATTTCTACGCCCTCCTCACCCCCAAAAAAGCGATCCTAAAAAGAGCGAAACCCACCTGTCCTCCGGAATCCTGTCCCCTTCTCCTCCGCGCGCCCCCCTGCCGGACAAGGTCGCATGCAAAGCCACAAACTCGGAGAACCGTTTCTGCAGGTACCACACCAGGGAGGCGTTGTTGGCGACCGCAAGGTGATAGGCCCTGTAGCCCCTGCCGAACGAGTCCGTCTCCCAGCTAGACCCGCACACCCCGCAGCAGAGGGGGGGCAGAGGCACGCGGCCGGACGGCATGACCCACAGGGTCACGGCAGCTGGGAAAGCAGGAATTATTTGGGGGTGATCATTGCGGGGGCCCTCCACTGTCGTCGGCGTTCCTCCGGTCGCCCCGTGTGGTGTCAACGCGGCTATATATGCAGAACGCCGTGTGTCGGCGGCAGCAGAGCTCTCCGCATCATCAGTAGGAGGAGCAGCCGACGCCGCCCATTGGCTACTCAGGGCGGACAGGAGGGGTGCTGATTCATCCGTCACCCAGAGCTCGCCGCCACGACCTTGAGCACCGTCGCGACCAGCGAAACCATTTTCCACGCTGCCAGCACGAGGAGTTGGCGAGGGCAATCGGCTCGTCCTTCGTTGGTCTTCTTCTTCTTCCCCCACCCCAGGGGCTTGTGCGTGTTGCCGGCTACTGCCGTCGCCATCACCGCTTCCACCACCCGCCTCCTTCGCCGCTTCCCTCCCCTCTACCCCCGTCCCGGCCCTTCCGGAGGCATCGTCGGTCTTCGGGCCAACTCCCACGCCAGCCCCACAGCTACCTGTTGTCTTTTCTGCTGCTGCAACGGCCGAGGCATCGGCATCGAAACCCTTCGCACATCCGCCGCTACCACTGCCGCTACCACTATTGCTGGTGCTGCCGCTGCTGGCGTCGCCGCTAAGACTACTGCCAGTTTTACCATCACAACTTGCGTCGCCCCCCGTGGCGTCCGGCACAGCGAGGAACAAGAAGGCACCGGGACGAAGCCCTTTCCCGCGAAAGTGCAGCACGTCGCTGCACAACCGGAACCGGGCGTCGTACGCCACGGCGGTAGCGGTCGTCCCGAGAACATCCCCAGGCACGTTCCCAGCAACGGTTCCCGACCCGGCCGTCGTTTCGCTCTCTCCCGCAAGAAGCTCGTGGGGCGATGAATTCGGAACATGCCTACGGTTCAATTCGGCTCCAACCTCATCTGAACTCGCCGCTACCGGGAACCGGCCAGTCACAACCCGCGGTTGACCGTGGGGGCTTTTCCCACGAAGGGTACCTTGTTGTCGGGGGGGGGGTGCAAGTATGCGCATTTGTGGTGAAAAGAAAGCAGTGACAAGTGAGCGGAAGGCGCAAGGAGGGGGCGAGGGAAGGAGGCGGGTGAACATATGTTTTGCTGCTGATAACCTGGGTAAATTACCGTAGCGAGGTTAAGGTAAATGCGGATCAGACTTGGCGCAAGTCGCCAACAGAGATGCATCGCTCTCTACTGACGCTGCAAAAGTTCTTAAGGATGCTTGATTGGAACTCAAAAAAAAAAAAAATAGGGACACCCTCACCGTTGTTTGGCCCCGTAGCAGCCCCAGCAGCGGTAGCGACACCACCATGGGATTCGTTCTCGTCCACCGCCGTATTACCGCGCCGGTCAGCCAAACTATCGGAGGTTCCTGCTGAGGGGCGGAAATCACTTGCCAAAGGACCAACCCACTCTCCCTGGTTAAAGCTCGCCCCCGCTCCTGCCGGCCTCGTTGCTGCTGTGTGGCTTTCTGCATCCCCAACCAGGGCGGAGGTGATCCGGTGCGCCTCTCGCTTGACGTCATTCGCTGACAACCGCCACAGGGTGTGCCTGTCGAACCACAGTTCAATGTAGCTGGGCGGGTATGGAACAGAGCGTAGACGTCGGGTGGAGCTGCTTGGTCAAAGTTTTCTGGCTGTGCTGTGCTTGGTGAATTTTGTAGGTTGATTCTCCCTCTCTGCGGAGTAACGCCCATCTCAGAGGAACAAAAAAATGCGGTGAAACTGCTGTTCCGAAGAATACACGGTTAGGTCAAGATGATGAGGGATGAGAGCGAAATCGGCGTCAAGTTAACTAACTACAGCAGAATTTCCTTGAACTGCTGTGTTGTTGTGCCCACAAAGCGCTACATATGTCCTGCCCCATCCCAACATGGGTGAAAAGACGGGGAATAACGTTCCACGAGGGCGGTGCTGCTGTGTTCGGTGCATCATCACTGCTTTCCACTGTATCGAACGGCGTGTTTGTTTGCGCGCAAGCAAGAAGCCATCAAGATCAGTGAAGCTGAATAAGTCATGCACGACAGAATCGGGGTTCTCATGGCTGATGTTGCATAGCAGCAATTGATACGGGCCTGCTGACGGTAGGTACAGCAGCAGTGGCAGCAGTTTCCGGTGTGGTAGATCACATGAAACGTACCAACAGCTGTTGATGTCACCTGTAACTGTCGAAGATGACCCGCACTCTGCCGAGGTGATGACGCCTCGCACATGCCCTAGGATGCACGTTTGTCGCCAGGGAATGGAGATGATTGTGCCTTCCGTTCTCCATGGTCATTCCATTGGTCTTCGTAGTGCGCCGGTGTGTAGCAAGGAGCGTGTAGCAGTGGGCTTGGGTTGCCAACGGGGGGCTGACACCGGATGACAGGTGAACCCAAACGCCAATTTGGAGTTCCATTTTTCCCACGCGGGGGAATTCCCCTCGACTCTCACCGGCTGTCGCCCTACACCCTACACTACTGCTGTAGTCACGTAGTCACTGAAGGTGTCATTTCTCAGGCGCCTGATATGTTTCATCTTCGGTAGGTCTCATTTTATTCGAAGCCAAGTGGGGTTCTTGACGTTTGTAGTCCGCATCCCAAGTAAAACAAGCTTGGTGTGCTGACAGAACAAAATCATGTGCTCTTGAAAAAGTGTACATGTACTTCACCAATTCTTTTATCGCCTGTATTCCTGGAGGGTTCGGCGTCGAGAAAAGCGTGCAAAAGAAGCATCAATCCACAGGGGGCATGCGTGTAGCAACTCCCGACGCAGTGTGTTGAACACTGGTTGGTCTGGTGAAGTCTACAAAGTAGGAGTCAAAGATTTCTTCCTTGGTGACCACCCCACCACCCATTCGCCACTCTGTGCAGGCAGGGCGTCGAAATAAGTCGCGCAATTTTTGTGGGAAAAAACTCTCCATGATCGTATGAATTGCATTGCGCTGCCATAGCTTCGTCTACATTAGTATGGCGTGCAGCGTGCGGTGAACGTGTGTGTAGCAGCCTCGGAGTAACCCCACCGTCCGGTCGACGGGGAAAAGACAACAAAAAAAGAAAACCACAAAACCACAACACAGAAGACAACCAAACGGACCAAGACGACAAACAATAAAGGAGAATTCAGAGATAATATATGAAGACTGGTGCTTGAAAACCCATCGGGAAGGAGATAAAGTACTACACTACATGTGGTGCCGCAATCTGCATCAACCATTCCCCCTCCCTCCCCCCCCAGTACCCCGCCCGAAACTTCGCGCCTGCCTCTCAACAGTAGTAGTCAACTATAAAACATTTGCCCCTTCATGTCCAACCGCCATATCCTGCGAGCTCAAGAACGCAAAATCATCGAAACGCCACTGTTCAAAAATTCTCGTCTTGAATTGTGCACTCGACACTCGAACTGTTACTTGGTCTGCGCCTTGACCGCCTCGATCCTTGCGCGGATTCCCGAAACATCCCCGAGGTAGCGGGCGGACAGCGGGGGGATAGCTTCCGGGTGTGTGATGGGCTTGAGGTCCTTGTCCAGCGTGAACACGAGCGGCACACCTGCAACAGCCCAAAAGGTAGGGAGGGAAAGCGGAGAAACAGCGGGCAGTCAGTGACTCGAGTAGATACTATTAACATTGGCTCCGGGCCATCATCCCTTTCGAGAGACGGAGCACGGTCGTACTTCATCAAATAGATGAAAACAGCCAACATCCACGCACTCGAGACGTGCCCACCACGCCCACCACACGAGATTCTCTTTGATGTACATACATTGCCCTTTCCGTTGTGCGGTTTGTGGCAACCACGTCCCATCCAAGGGAGCGGGTTCGATCAGATTTGTGCGAACCGACCGAAAGTCTTTCGTACCAGGGTTGAGGTCGACCATTCGAAAAATGTGGTTTAGCTCCCAGCGCGCGAAAAGTGAAAGACGAGGGAAAAGGAACTATGCGGGGGGTGTTCTCAGTTGCTTGTATAAATCTGACCTCAATTGCGATTGACTATTGATTCGCTGGAGGCGGGGTGCGGAGGAGGGAAGCGATGCTCTGGTCTTGTAATCGACTGGATGGTGTGACTGCTGTGGTGCAACCAGTGATGGCACATCATCTTCAGCATGGAGCAAAAAGCTCTTGTATTGGTGTGCAGCAAGTGTACCCGAATGACTCCAAACCACCACGCTCCAAACGACTCTCATATGTAGAACCAAGAGGTGCACGCGGCCTCACGCGACAGAGAAAGATCAGAGAGAGCGAGAGAGAGAGAGAAAGAGAGAAAGAGAGAGAGACAAGAGAGACAGAAAGACCTTGCCAACGCACCGGTGGGGATGTCCAAGCCGACGATGTCCTCGTCGGAGATCTCATCCAGGTGCTGGCACAGCCCGCGGATGGTGTTTCCGTGGGCCACGATAAGGATCCGCTTCCCGCTCTTGATGGCGGGAGCGATCTCGTTCTCCCACTCCACCAGGAAACGGTCCTTCGTCAACTGCAGCCAAACGAGCAACGCGCACAGAACCAAGGTGGTCAAGCAGAGCAGCGGTACACGGATGGTTCTAGGGGGGAAAAGTCTTGCTCACCCTGATACCCGCATGGGTACAAACACGAGCTGCATGCTTTTCTCCAAGAAAAGGCCAATCAGATGACAAGAGACAGCTGCCGCGACTCAACCACTGCGTCGCCATTGTTAACTACATGCTCTTCCTCGAACAGTGCAGTAGACAGGATTTTTCGATTTTTTTACCTCGACGCTGGCAGCCACAGAAAGAAAAAAATGACAACGCACCTTGAGAGATTCCGCCCGCGGGAGGTCGGCCGGGTCCACCCCAGCGTACTTGCGGTCGTTCTGGGGAAGGTCATCGCTGTGAAAAAGGAATTGAGGTTAAACGGATACGGTAACAACGGGCGTCTGAGTGCCAACGCTTGAGAAACGACAATCCTGAACACATTGATGGTTTCAAAGCAAGGTGGGAACAGCATTGTGAGAAAAAGTCCAGGTTCGCGTGCCTGCGTCGACGTTCGAACACGCCTTAGCCTCGAGAAGGTGGAGCTTATCACTGAGCCACTCAGCCGCCCTGTTGTTGTGGTCAAGGGCAGCATGAAAAGTGTTGAGATAATCGCACACGACGAACCATGTCGGCGTTAACACACGACACGCGTTAATCTTAACTTTTCGCGCATGCGACCACGGAATTCGTTTCGCTTCGTGTCTTGCTCTACCATCACGAGTTCATTGTAGCAGGTGTTACGTAGACGTCCGGGCTATATCTCCAAGTCACAGGAAGCGAACGCCAACAACAACAGCAACATGAACATGCAACGAGGAGGATATGCACCTATCGTCCGCGAGGAGGGGAGGCGGAGTGGTGTAGCTCCTGCGCCAGATCATGACCTGGTCCATTCCGTGCTTCGCAACCGTCTCCTTCTTGTCCAAACCCTGTAGCATACAAACAAAACACGAAACAAGGAGCGCAAGGTCAGAACGCCTTTGGTGTTACGACGTCGCGCGGTTCGGTCTCTAACGTGATGAGGGTCATTTCTACGTCGACTCACGCACTTGATGCTCCTTGCATTATTCGCAAAAAATATATATTCTAGGTTCTTCGTTTAGTGTGGAATCCTGGCCAACACGGAACGTGTAGGTTCGGAGCAGAGAGGTGCAAGAGGTCAGAACGGCTTCCAGCGCGCAGACAACGGCAGCAACAAAAGCAGCAGAAGCAACCAAAACCACCACAACCACCACCACCACGAGGTCAGGACGGCCTTCAGAGCCTGTACCACAAACCACACCAGCTTTCTACAGTGTGGCGAAGAACGCACCTGGAGGGCACCGTAGTGTCTCTCGTTGAGGCGCCATGATCGGTTCACCGGGATCCACATAAGGTCCGTCTTCTCGAGGATACACCACAGGGTGTTGATCGCTCGCTGTGCGGAACCAAAAAAGGGGGCGAGGAGACAAGCCCCACAGAGGAAGTAGGGCGAAGCGGGTAGGACGCTTCAAACAACTGAGGCAACCAACCGGGACAGAGAACTTAGGAAATGAAAGCAGGCGGTTGATGAGCCTCGATAAAAAGGCACGACCCGAAGCCATAATCAAACAATGACGTAAAAATTATTGCCGAAAAAAAGACCGCGATCAGCGTTTCTTGCCACAAGAACGGAAATCCTGCGGACAAGTTGCTCTCACTCTTTGCACCACCCTTGCGGGTCCGGGGTTAACAGCAACAGCAGCAGCACAAACACCTGCGGCCAATATCAACAACGAGTAAACGAGTGGCACAAACCTTGAGCACTGAGCAGTTCACCGGAACAGCAGCACCACAAATTGCAGCGGCCAACAGCAACAAAAACAACAAAATCAAGTGGCACACACCTTGAGCACTGGGCAGTTCACTGGAACAGCAGCACCGCACAAATAATTGCAGCGGCCAACAGCAACAATTGCAACAAAATCAAGTGGCACAAACCTTGAGCACTGACGTGTAGGCGACGTCAAACGTCAAGCCCGACTCGGCGATGAGCTCGCCGGACTGGGCGGCCTCCTCCTGGCCCTTGTCCGACAGAGGCACGTCCTTCCACCCTGTGAAACGATTCTCGTTGTTCCAGGTACTCTCGCCGTGCCTTCAAACCGTTTGACAGAAACAGAGAGAGCAAAGAATAAGCACTAATTCAAGTAGTCGATGCTGCTGTTCCAGGTACTCTCGCCGTGCCTTCAAACCGTCTGAGAGAACCAGAGAAAGCAAAGAAAAAGCACTACATCAAGTATTCGAAGCCGTTGTTCCAGGTACTCTCGCCGTGCCTTCAAATCGTTCGAGAGAAACACACAACCGAGATAATGCAAAGAATAAGCACCACATCAAGTCGTTCGACGTTAGCGCCATCGACGACTTCCATGCTCGTCGTTTGACAACGGTGGTTTTAGTTGGGGGGGGGGTGCGTTGGGTCGTCTTTTGCCCATCGCATGGTTTCTTTGTATCGAACCGCACCCAGATCTTAAGCACCAGGTAGGTGAGTTTTAGGTGCGACGGTTATCGGGGTTAGTGAATCTAGGAGAGGGTAAGAGACAACCAAACAGCGTTCGTGTCTGCATGTTGGGGTTGAGGTTTGCGCACCCGTCTCGTCGCTATAGGTCGGAATGTTTTAGAGGGCGGAGTTCTAGACTTGTTGTCAGAAGCAGGTAGACGGGTGAAAAACGGGTGAAAAAAGTCCCCGACGGAGTAGACTCTGCGATACTGTGGCTATGAAAGAAGTTTGCTCCGACGACAAAGCAACAGAGTAACCTAGGTTGGCGTACTTAAGCATTAACATTCGATGGCATAGTTGGTTTGCCTCAACGCCGCGAGCAGAAAAAGAAAACAAAAAACATGTGAGCATGTACAATGAGTCACGTACGCCAAAAATATGTGTTCATGCACTAGAAATCACGTCCGTCCGTACATTTATTCAATTATTAGCTAGACGAACTCCGCAGGCAGATGATACCGGTGGGTAAATTGGGTACAGAACGCCAAAGATAAAAAAATTCGTCGGGCTGCAAACCTACAACGTCCCCGAGAGACAAGAAGACGACCAGTGCAACAAGCCTCACAAAAACAAGAAAAGTGTGTGGAGGAGGTATTGACCTTTCAAAAGAGGAAAAGGTGTCCCATCCGCCCAACATATCATCTGTCGAGGACGATTCCCTCGTTTCACAAGGGAAAAAAAGAAGAAAATCCCCAAACATGTTACGACAGAGTGGGGCTTAAAGAAACAATGCCGACGAGAACGGCACTAGAGAATACTGAACAGCAAAAACCTGACACACAACACCGAAAGAGAGCAATCGCGGGGGGGGGGGGGTACTGACCTAACTACGACGAGTGTGTAGGTGTCGTCCCCCTCTGGCGTGGTCTCGGGCGCGGCCATGGACATGCCGCTCCTTGCACCCCGAACCGAGCGCAATGTCGCCGCATTGTCGCCCAGGCGGACTGCCGCCGCCGCCGCCGCCGACTGCACGCGCCCTCTAGCCACCACGGAGGGAGCTACGAACCCTGTAATTGCCAAAAACCGGTACAGTCCCGGTTTAGCGGTTCCCTGTTTAGCGGGATGCCCTGAATAAAGGTTCCAAAATCTCGTGGCACGGCTGCACTTCTGTAGTCAAACTACTATATAACTGCCAATCTGGTTAAGCGGCGATGCCCTCAATAGCGGTTATAACATTTTGTGACGCTATGGGCAGCTAAATCGGGACAACATCCGGGGGAAGAGGTGAACGATGTCCAGGGGGGGCAGCACGCGATGGGAAGATCATTGGAAAACCGTCTGACCCAATCGATGCCAACGTTTGCCGAATGCATGCTGAGGTCTACCGGGTACTTGTCAGTCGGGTACAGTCCCGGTATAGTGCCGTGCGATCCAGCCGGTATCACCGGCATTATTGCGGGCTGTCGGCACTATCAGAGCATGAAACAACTTGAATATTCCGTCTGTGCCAGGCGATTTAACCGGCATTGTACAGGGCAACCAGCATTTTCGACCGGCGACATACCGGCACCAGTACTACTGCTGTACGTCTTATAACACGTGTCAGTCTCTCTCGGTTGGGCGGTTTGCTGCTGCAATGATGACTATAATTTCAAGACAGAAAAAGGGTTGACGTGTCCGATTTCCACCGCTTTCGCGAAATCGGTACAGAGGTGCGTGTTAGAATAGTAGTGCTGTACCGACCCAGTGTAGCCCCTCCGTCAATATTATTGCTTCGAAAACGGCGTGCTCGTGTCGGATGGCGAGACAACTACAAGTCTCGCTCCACATAGAATCTCAGCTCCATAAACTCTTCTCTACGTAGCTTGGCTATCGACGGTGCGTTGGCGACGAGAGATGCCTACGTGTAGTGGGAGTTGGCTCCTGCTGAAGTCCTGCCGACTGGCTGTTCGTATTCTCCCGCCAACGCTCAAAACACGGAAGAGATCCGGAAGATCCGGTCATGTACATGGCGCACCAGAGCTTGATTCTGTTCGTTCTGGGGGCAGCAGCAGGAGCTGAACACCCATAGCCACCACCCATCACCCCGCACCAAAGTTACATGCAGTCTCCGTCCCAGGCCTACAGAAAGACCCGTTTCTCAGAAAGAGAAAGGCGTCACAACGAGAAAAAACGCTCCGCAGAAGATTGTTGCACCAACAGGCCCGAGAGCTACCGGTACTGCAAGTAAAACTCGCGCTGAACCCTATTTGCTCGTGCTGCTATGCTGCTATCGTTGGCGCCTCTGATTGGCGTGGGAGTTGGATACAGCACCCAAGCGCAACCACGGGACAGGGTGTTGCCGTGTTGCCCCAAGCAGATGGTGGTGAAAATTTCCTCACAACGCGCGTGCCCCAAGGCACGATACACCATGTAGATTCAACTACACACCCGGGGAGAGAAAATGCGGGGGATAAAAAAGAGACAGCTTGTTGTTGCTGCGCACAGCCGTCGTCAAACATCAACTTCGGTCGGTCCTCTTCTTCACCCACCCCGGGAAAATGAGGCAACAGCAGACGGATCTACCGTAAATATCTGTTCTGCTCGGCGGATACGTTCCGCGAGCAGCTGGCTTCTCTCTCTCACCTACGGCGGCCTTCGCTTGGAGGACAAGACATGCGAGCACCGCTCCACCCTGTATTTATCACGAAGGGATGCGGCGCAAGCGGGCAACGACGTGTCGCGCTTGCAGCGGTCATGATCTTGTGTCCCCACAGCAGAAGCTTTTCAAAACATGATGGCAAAACGTGACGGGCGCATTTTCGCCCGGAATCTACTTGAAGAGCATGCAACGCAATAGTCGGGCGCGTGTGCGATGCCCCAACCTCTCGATTGGATCCTTAGATGGCTACAACAAAGGGTGTCGCACTGCAGTACTGCCGTGTAGCCAACGGCCAAGAGGTTGTGTCTGCCAGCGGAAGCAGCACAGGACCACACACCTCTTTGCCTCTTGCTTTTCGCAACAGCGGCAACCTCACCTTCATAGTGTTGATTGTGATGGAGATTCGCACCAACGGAGCGTGGAGACACTATCGCGTGCAGGAGGCAAGCGGTGAATGCGAGGGAGAGCTGGTGGAGGTTGTGGCATGCACACCCAACGCAACGAACGAAGGATCAAAACAGCCGGGGGGGCGCCAGCGCCGGGGGGGGGGGTGATACCGCGGAGCTCCCCCTACGCGGTGTTGCGGTGTGCCTCCCAATTGCGTCATTCATCGCGTTGTCGTTGAGCAGCAGAGCCACTGGCTTACCACTCTTGCAATCACCAGTGCTACGCTAGGAGTGAGGAGGACAGAAATCTTTCGCGATTGCACGCTCTGAGTTTTTCTAGAGAGAGGAACCGACTTCCCGATTTCGTCGAAGTTTTAGTCACCCGGCAGCAGCACTTCGTAAGAGGGCTGCAGTTGGTGGAAGCTCTGAGATCGGCGTGAGACATCAACACACTAAACCATGGGCAAGAAGAAGGTTCTCCTGATGGGCAAGTCCCGATCAGGCAAGACCTCGATGCGCTCCATCATCTTTGCAAACTACGGCGCCAAGGATACCATCCGCCTCGGGCCTACTCTTGACGTGGAGCACTCGCATGTCAGGTGCGAAGAAAGAATGCGTACCAAAGCCTCAGCAGCCTCAGGGGCAGCACCACCCCATGTAGCAGCAGCCTAAGCAGCAGCAATAACCGCCAGCAGTAGTGGTATTTCCGAGTTAGTTAAAAGTTCCACCTCTGGCCACGTTCATGTTGTAGCGGAAATACACGTGACTCGCATCCACTGCTCATGTACACCAGGTAAAAAGTGCTTTGTACAGCAGTACAGTTGTAGGTGACTCGCTGTCCCGCCGGCTGAATGTGCCTCCAATCACTGCTGTCACTTGCGCCAATTGTGACTAATGCAGCAGTACTGCTGTACAGCGATGCTCTGCACCGTATGCATATGCTCCAAATGGGTATCACCACATGCGGGGGGGGCTGTGCTTGTGTTCCATTTGGGTTGGCGCGTGTGGTGATGCTATTTGTCCACAGCCGCAATGCACATAAGCACGAGGTGGTTACCCTGCTGTAGGTTGTTTGCTCTGTTGTACTGGCTGTACAACACGAAGTGGCAGCTTTGGTGCGATACGGTACGACCCTCTCCGATTCTCCTTTCGGTCCCTCCTTGACACTTGACCAGCCGGGGCCCTCCACACCACCCGCTGCTGTCAGTACCGTAAGGCACGTGTAGTGCATGCAAAGCATGCTCGCAACTCACCAGCAGCTTTTTGTGTGCAGCATACATGATCCGGACGAAAATGAATGGGGGCTCTGGACGAGACATGATCTGATGATGCCATCCACGACGACTTGACACGGGTGACAGCATTACCGGTTACCTCGGTAGTCTAGTGGTTCACCCCGTACACCTAGTAGCAGGTTGGAATCCGGTTCTCTCTCTGGAGCGAAAAAAGAAAAACAGTATGTATGCTAAGACGGGAGGAAAAGTGATGTGCCATTACGGCAACAGCAGTACGGCGCAAGGAGATTTTTTTGCGAAGATTGAGACGTGCTGAAGCTTGTCGATTTTCTCGAGAGGTCAAACCCTACTAATAGCGTTGTGGGAAAATGTGCTGCACTGGACGTGACGACATGAAGAATAGCAATAGCAGCAGCAGATGCCCACGTAGCGAGGCATGTAGTTGTACACAGTCGTTGGGAATGTGGGCCATTTGTTCGAAGAATAGTGGGAACTCCTTGAGAACCGAGACGAGGAAAGTAGGTGGGGGGCGACATGGTGAGTAAGTTGGACAGCGGCAGCGAGAAAACGATCGCTACGCTAGACGACTGGGTTGTAAGCCGAAATACGCCAACAGGGAAGGAGGGGACGATGACAAATAACTTCTTGGGTACAGACAATGTGGCAACGAGTCTGGAGGTCACGACCTTTTGTGGTGTGTCTACATTACGTCTATGCGGAGGGTTGCGGCTCCGTCTCGAGAGGGGCGTGCTGTCAAGAGTTAAAATACGATGACAGGGACGTTTGAGCATGTACGCCCCCTCCCTCAGCACTAAAAGGAAACAAACCGCTTTTGTCGGTTCTACATATTGTGGTGGGTGCGCGTGCTTCGAACACCCAGGTTTTTGGGGGACATGGTGCTGAACCTTTGGGACTGCGGGGGGCAGGACTCGTTCTACGAGACGTACTTCAACTACCAGCAGGAGTTCATCTTCCGCTCCGTGGAGGTGAGGCCTGTGTGGCGGGCGACACGCGTCCATGCTACTGTAGGCAACCTGTCGATTTGTTCGTATGACTTGGTGCTACAGTGGTACATACGTAATGCTGACTGCTGACATGTTAATTCACTTGTCAACCTCTCGAACTGCGTGCAGCTAGCTGCTGGTAGGTACATGAGTGTGGTGGGTGGGTACTAGTTCACCGCTCGTGCTGCAGGTCAGAGGTTCTTGGAGACTAAAGCAGAAGCGCACATTGTTCTTCTTTGCAGACGACGGTCGGAAAGTATTCCGGCGGCTCGTGATTAACGCGGAGAAAAGGCAGGAGGTCGGCCCCATCAGCTATTATGTGATGAAGCCGCGTTTCCTGGGTGCACGCGCCCAGACTCCCCGTGCGTTTTTATATCCAAAAGCTTTCTTTTCTGCACCCCCGGGGAAGCCTCGAAGCCTCGCACGTGTGCATATTTCGTCGTTCGTTGAAGCCTCCGTTGAACTACATACAATAATGCCTCCGGTGCTATCCTTCGTGCGTTTCGGCTGGGAAGGTGTTGATCTACGTCTTCGACGTGATGAGCGATGACGTTGCCGGCGACCTTGAGCGATACCGGGGGGTGTTGGAGGCGGTGGACCGTAACTCCTCAGATGCGAGGTATGTTCGCTGCTGATTGACTGCTGACGAGTTGCCTTGAACCCGGCTGAAATTGGTGCGAAGAAGACCCGCTTGCGGAGTATTAATCAACACGTTTGTGGAAGGAGCTCTCGTTCCCTTTGAAGGGCGGAAAACGCTCAGATTTTGTAACACGGACACGTCGGTGGCGGTGTGTTTAGGTCTCTTGGTAGTTGGAAGACTAACGTGAGATGGGGGCAGCTCACGTCGGGGGACGGAAAGCCTTCCTTCCGTATGTGGATGGCGTACACAACGTTGCACAGTGATAATCGAAGGAAAGCCCCGATAGCTCCGCGCCGGTGTACAATCAAAGGGTTGGTACGGTGTGCCGTTAGGCAATGGCGTAGCTGCCGGCTGAATGGCAAAACCCGTTAACGCACGTCCCTGTCCTCAACGTGCAGGGATGTTGTATGATGGCACCTGTCTGCGCTCGATGTAAATGCGATAGCTGCGTTCCGCCTTCCCCCTATTTCTTCGAAGCGATGTGCAGCCTAAGTCCCTAGCCTATGTGGCAAAATCTGCCGCCAAACGTGTTGTCATGGTGTGCGGCCGTCCAGTGATGTGTGTCGATGCGAGGGTCTACTTTGTCACACACACACCCCTCTCCGACAACAACCGACAAACGAGGCACACACAATAGAGGAACCATGGTCTATTGTTGCTACAAAGGACCACGAGAAAAAATCATCGGCGTCCCTTGTCAGCGACGATAGAGTTTGAAACGTGTCTATCGAATGTCCATTGTCTGCCTTGTCAGTGACGATAGAGTTTGAAACGTGTCTATCGAATGTCCATTGTTTTCCTTGTCAGTGACGATAGAGTTTGACACGTATCTATCGAATGTCCATTGTCTGCCTTGTCAGGGACGATAGACTTTGAAACGTGTCTATCGAATGTCCATTGTCTGCCTTGTCAGTTTCGATAAGAGTTTGAAACGTGCCTATCAAATGCCCGTTGTCAAAAACTTGGAGTGTTCCTCCCTTGTCTCTCCCCGCATGCTGCCCCCCCCAGGGTGTTTGTGCTGATCCACAAGATGGATCTCGTTACGGAGGAGGACCGAGAGGTTGTCTTCTTGAACCGAAAGCAGGTAATCTCGGACGTTAGCGGCGGCGTGGAGCTGACGTTCTTCATGACGTCGATTTGGGACGAGACCCTGTACAGGGTGAGTGATTCGTGCCCGGGGGCTTGGGGTGATACTACGGTGTGGCAGATCGGTGGTGGTGTTCGATCGTCGTCGTCACTGTTGCTGTTGTTTCCAGCCGCCGCCGCTGCTGCTACTGCTGTTGCTCCTGCTAAGCTTATTGGCAGCAGTGTGCCGTTTTCGTTGGCATGGTGGCTTGTCGTCGCCGTTGGTACTGCTGCTGCCTTCTTGCGTACTGGCAACGAGAACCGTCGGGGTAGGCATGTATGGTTTGTCGTGCTCGTCCCACTCTTTTGCTGCATGTTGTCACGTTTGTCACGTTTGTCATGTTTGTGCGGTGGTGACGGCACGTGTTTGCTCTTTTCAACGGTGAGGTTGTTCTGCCACGCACTTGGTCGAGGCGTAGCCGTTAGCGGCGCCAGAAGTCTGAATCGACGATGTTTTTTTGTTTGTTTTGATCGTTTCATCCTTGGGTTTTTGCTGTTGGCGCCGTTCGTAGTGTTGCCTTGACTCGGAGCGCCTTTGCTGCTGCTTCTGCCTCTGCCTGTGCTGCTGCTGCTGCTGCTGCCGCTGCTACTGCCTCTGTTGCTGCTAGGCGTGGTCTTCGATCGTGTACTCTCTTATCCCGAACATGGAGGTGCTCGAGAGCCACCTCGACAACTTCTGTGATATTTGGTGAGAACGCGATGCTCTTCCTCTGTCGTAGTTGGTGGCGTCATCGTCGTCCATGGTGTTATTGTCGATATGCACCAATTCTGTTGTTGATGATGAGGTTGTCGTTGTTCCCTTCATGCCAACGTTCCCTTCTCTGAAGTCGTCATTGTTTGCCCTCCGTACTGCGGCACAAATCCAAGGTCTTTGACGGCGAACAGCTATTTCGGCACGTGCTGTTGTCTGTGTTGCTTCTCTTGTTACACCCACCACGTTTCGTTGGAAAATTCTAGTCGCCGAATTGTACATCAAGCACAACACGCGTCTCTTTCTTCCTCTCCGCACAATTTCTGATTGTGTGTTCATCATGTGTTTCTACGCTTTTTTTTTCTTCTTTTTTCCAGCGGGGCCGATGAGGTGGTTTTGTTCGAAAGGGAGACGTTCCTGGTGATCGCGCACGCGAAGCATGTGCAACACCCGGATGTTCACCGATTCGAGAAGATCTCCAACATCGTCAAGCAGTTCAAGCTTAGCGTTAGCAAGACCAGCCTCAAGTTCGAGGGAATGATGGTGAGGCTTCGCGTCGATCTGTAGACATCTGGTATGTATCGCCAATGAGACACCGTGACGAGCTTTAGGGCGATAATAAGACTGGTTTTGTATATGGAACGTTTCGGTGTGTGTTGGTATGTAGTGAGCGTTTTAACAAGCGAGGCCATCCTCAGGGGATGGCGGGTCGTGTATTTTTTCGGCGTCGATCTCCACAGAGCCTGCTTTGAGAACGCACACCTTTCCATTTTCGGTGTGTGGAGCCTCCTTCGCTCTGTCCTCTCTCTCTTCTCTCTCTCTCTCTCTGAACTACGCCTTTATACTTGAGTCGCTATTGCGTAGTTGCTACCTTTTCCTGTTCCGTGTGGTCTCGCCCATCTCAACAGACGAGTTCTGATACCAGTGTGCAAGAATTCTTCCGTGGTGAGCATGTTCGTTTTTTGATGCAACCTCCAGCAGCAGGCGATTTTTCACTCGGCAAACCCGGCTGCGCCGCGCGTTTGCGAGCCACCTCCTGCTGGCAGATGGGGGCTGTAGCACTCTTTCCTACGCTTCCCAACCAAGGCTCGTTTCCGTGCCGCCCGTTTCACCATTATAGGTGAAGAACTCGAACTTTACGGTGTTCATCAGCGACTTCACGGAGAACACGTACATCATGGTGGTGACGACCAGCCCGCTGGTCGAGAAGGCCACCACCGAGCTCAACATCAAGGCGGCGAAGAAGCACTTCGAGAGGTTGCTGGTCAAGCCGGAGGACCTCGGGCACCACGAGATGAACCACCACCACCACCAGCCGGGCCAAGTCGCGTGACCGCCGTCGCGGGGTCTCCCAGCCAACCGTCAGGCGTTCGGCGTGCACCACCGGTTGGAACCGTTTTTCTGGTTGTCGTCCCCGCCGTGTCGTCTTGTGGCACCATGGCGAATCGCCGTGCTTTTCGATTGTTGCCGCGGGTCTGTGAGGAGTGGGCTTGCTAAGGTTGTGTGCTTACCGTTTGTACCGATTGTTGTGTTTTTTTTGTCTGAACGGCTTCTCTGCGCGTGCATGCGGCGAAGCTTCGGTGGTCGGGGCATTGTGTATGTGTCATGTGCCTCGAGACAAGCTACAGAAGAGAGAGAGAAAAACAGCAATCCCCTATATTTATCATCGTTAGTCTAGACGTGGCCAAGAGTTAACTTGCGCCTCGTGGGTGTTTGTGTTGGGCTGTAATTATGTTCGTAGGCGGCAGCAGCAGCAGTGTTGTGTTGTGTCGGCGGAGGGCGTTCCAGCGTGTGTGTTTGTTTTGGTAGATGTTTCTTTGATTCGTTTTTTTAGGCGCCCTCCGTCCAAGCGTAGGCCTTGTTCGCTCGTAAGCTGCTGCTGCTGCTGCTGCTGCTGCTGCTGCTGCTTCATGGTTCTCTATGCCAACAACGTGCCGGCCAATGACACTGCTGTATTTTTCAGCGTGCGTTTCGTTGTGTGCCGCGAGTTCAATGTCTCTTTTTTGTAGTCACTCGTGGAAAATGTGTTTTTTGTGTCTTTTTATGGGGGGCGGGGGGATCGTCCGGGGGGATCGTCCGTGTGCACCTCTCGCCCTCGTAGACCCGTATCAGTATCGCCATATGCCCTCCTTACAACGGATTACTGAAACGGTCAGTGAAGGCGCTGGTAGCGAAGGTTACGACACTGATGTGGCCGATAGCCGGCTGTTCTGCGTAGGTGAACGTGCCGCGCAGGGGCGCACGCAACAACAGCGCTAGAATATTTATATTCAAACCGGTTTTCTGGGGTCGGGTAAGGGGCCGTTAGGCACGTGAGCCGCGGCATAGGGGCCAGATTAACGTGAATGTTTTCTTTTAGTTTAGATGTGACATCAGCGTAGCCGCAACACTCGTAAGGTTAAAACTACTGTATTGCGCATCGCAGAAGGCGTTCAGGGTTATTGGCGGGGGGTGGAATAGGTTCGGGTTGTGTTCGGTTTCAGTCGGGAAAGTCGACCTCGCTGCGGATGGCGGTTTGGCAAGCACGCTAATGGTAACACTTGGCTGAGTGAACGGTTGTCGCTTTGCCGGCCGTACGTAAGTTCGTGCATGGCTTGGGGTCGATCCCCCCTCTGCTTCGACCCGCCTCGGACTCTAGTCCAGGGTTTCTACCCCCCCCCCCCCATTGGGGGTGGGTTTCTGGT